ACGGCTGGATCGCCGAGCACGCCACAAAAGCAATTGGAAGCCGGCACCGATGACCTGGAATACGCCGGTGGAGGAGACTACGAGGCGGACGAGGAGGACGACGATGAAGTCGACGAGCATGTGGCCGCCCAGCGGGCACGTCAGCGGGTGCAGAGTCCAACCAAGTGAGTTTGAGAATACTAAGCTTATCGCAATCGAATTAACACTTTATACGTCCACTACTTAGAATCTCGCCACGCACGCCCGTGACCCAGAACGACCCATTGGGTGCTCTCAACGAGGAGGAGACCGCCGCCAGTGCCGCGCCCACGCAGCAAGTGCAGCAAGAGCAGCAGCACTCGCACTCGCAGATCGACAGCAGCATATACAGCGACAAGCCGATCTTGTTCCGCGGCCAGAGAAGCGCCACCTTCGACGAGTCGACGCAGATCGGGAAGAGTATGCACCGCTCGGAGACGATGCCGGTGGCCAGCAGCGGTGTGACCAACAGCCTGGCCAACATCGGATCCTCGCTGAAGTTCACGTTCGGGTAACTCCGGCGTTCCACAGCCTTTCCTCCCCCGATCCCCATTTTGTGTCTTCCTTTAAATCATCTGAACACACTATTCCACAAGCATTCCACCGTCCACTCACCAAAATCAAGCGGATTATTTATCCCTTATTTTATAACTTTTATCCCTAACCACTTGGCTTTTCCCCTTTTCGCATCATTTGTTGTTCAAAACATAACCATGCAATAATGGTATGTATTCAATGTGAACTTTCGATTCAATTAAATGGTCTGGAAAACTGGAGAAGCGAAGCCATGTATATCTTCTACTACCTCTCTCTAAATCGAACTTGTTTCTGAGCCACATTTCGTTTATGATTTATTTACATATATATATATATATAATTATATCTTAGACGTTATTCACCCGCACGATTGTCCCTTAAGAAAGACTTGAAATTGCCCGCCAATATTATAGAAAATATATCGAGCATAAGGTAAGTGGAGACCTTTCTTAGAGAACTAGACAAACATACCTGAAAACTACACCCAATTGTGTGTTGTGCTGCTTTCCACGCTATTCACCTGGCATTCGATTTGTTCAATTTTGGCTCTCTCGGTGAAGGAGGTTTCTAAAATGGTATTTGGGTCGCTGTAAAGATAATCACATGTCCTACTTTAATTTGTACCTATTGTTCGAATGTAAATCTTAAATGTATGGTATTGTTTCCGTTTTCAGGGTGTTCTATGTCTTCTGTTCTTACTTTCTGAACTCTATTATACTTTATAATCATTCTCAGTATTAGCTATCAAAATCTATCATACTAATATGCAATGCACAAGTGGACAGCGGCAGTTAACACACAGCGGCACAACAAAAACACACACAACAGAGTCTTAACCTCTTGTTTTCGTTTTGTGTTCCACATAAGTTCCACCCCCGAAATGCTGTTCCACAGAGTTTCGCCTTTGGTTTTGGTTCTGGTTACGGTTGCGTTTAGGTTACGGTTACGGTTACGGTTACGGTTACGGTTACGGTTATGGTTTAAAGTCCCTTAAACAACTTCGTTGGTGGCGGGCAATTCAAGGTTTGACTAAAGCCACGCAAAGCATCCACACTAACTCGAGTTAATCGAACAAGCACCGCACCATCATAATATATATAGCAGCACCACCAGCAGCTGATTTCCCCGATCGCAGATACGTACATATGTTTTGAGACTTACTTAAGATTTCAAACTGTATGATGCTTCTTTATTACTTGTGATTGATTGATAATAGAGAAATCAGCTGCTAAATTGCCTTACCCCATTCTCGTTTCGTTGTACAAAGTAATATAAAAAAGGTGCAGCTTTTAAGCAGCCAAGTAATTCCTGATATTTGTACCATCCAGTCCCAGCTTGACGGGCAAGAAGTCGAACGAGTTGATCCAGGGCAGCCTGAGCAGCATCAAATCAGCGGCCAATTCGCTGACCAAGAAGTTCGATGAGATTAAGGGTGTGATATCGGCCAATTCCACGCCGACGAAGACGAACAATGGACACCATCCGCATGGCCTGCATCATGGGCATCACCATCCGCACCACCATCATCATCATCACTCGCAGCACGGCAATGCGGAACAGGAGGAGCACGATGCCGCCGTCCACGAGGAGGGCAAGTTGCGTCGCGTCTCCAGCGACCTGGATCCATGGGGCAGGCTCAGCGAGTCGCGCAAATCCAGCTACAACAACCTGGTGCCGCTCGGCGAGAACAGCTCCACGGGCGCCCTTCATATGCACGCCTTTCCAGCTTTGCCCGACCACCTCTACAGCCTCACTAGCGAGGTGAGTACAGATGGCCTGGAATCTGAATGTATCCTCACCCACATATGCGCTTTTAACATCCACAGAACGCCGCGGATCGTGACTGCGATGTGCTGATCCAGCTGACGACCTGCTCGCAGTGCCACAATTGCTCGGTGCTCGTCTACGACGAGGAGATCATGAGCGGCTGGACGGCGGAGGACTCCAACCTGAATACCACCTGCCACGCTTGCAACAAGCTGACGGTGCCCTTCCTCAGCGTACATATCGAGCGGCAGGCGGAGGAGGTGGAGGAGTCGGATCCATCGGATCCGCTGCAGGACGGCAAGGAGCAAACAACAAACGGCACTAGCCACAAGTCCAGCCTGACCGTGCCGTATCTAAATCCGCTGGTGCTGCGCAAAGAGCTGGAGAATATACTCACCCAGGAGGGCGACATTGCGCTGATAAAGCCGGAGTTCGTCGAAGAGCACCCTATCATCTACTGGAACCTGCTCTGGCTGATGGAGCGCATCGAGAGCAAGACGCACCTGCCCGAACTCTGTCTGCCCGTGCCGGTAAGTCATTTAACATTACTCCTATAGATGATGTAGCACTGGTCTTTCTTTGATTTCGCAACGGCTTAGAGCGACAAGGAGCACATTGATCCGCTGAGCAAGTTGAAGACGGTGCACATTCAGTGCCTGTGGGACAACCTGAGTCTGCATACCGAGGCCAGTGGTCCGCCCATGTACTTGCTGTACAGGGAGACGCAGCCGACGAGTCCGCTCATCAAGGCGCTGCTCACCGACCAGGCGCAGCTCAACATGAAGTGAGTGGATCTAGCCAAGATTGTACTTACCGATTAATACCGATTATATCTTTGCGTCGCTCAGTGTCGTTCAGCAAATCATTTCGGCCATCCGGTGCAATGACTTCGCCACTCCCCTCAAGCGCTTGGCCAACGAGCGGCACAAGCTGAAGAGCAACGGCGTGGAGCGATCCCACTCGTTCTACCGCGACATCCTCTTCCTGGCCCTGACCGCCATCGGAAGGGCCAACGTGGACCTGGCCACATTCCATCGCGAGTATGCTGCCGTCTTTGACAAGCTGACGGAGCGCGAGTGCAATATGTACTATCGCAACCAGGACCTGCCGCCCTCGGCATCGACGATCTTCTGCCGCGCTTACTTCCGCCCGCTCCTACTGCCCTGACGCAGTGGCTCCCAGCTGGAGGGAGGGGCATCTCCAAGCGATGCCGAAGTGGACTGGACACATGATGGAGCAGCCGAAGCCTAAATGACCAGACGACCAAATAATTCGATAACAAAATGGAAACCAAGGGAAAGTTTGACGACAACGAAACGCTTATCACACACCTTAGGCTGGGTCGATTTTATAGATGGGACAAGTATGAACTAATTTTACTTAGATATCAGAGCTCTGATTTACGTTATGAAAAAGAAAAGGACGGTATTCTGGAACTATTCCTAGTAGGCTATAAAAATGTAATTGTTTTAAACGAAAAATACTTGATTCGAAGTGTTCTTAGGTCTTCAAACTAATAGTTTTCGCAAGCGAGGAAGCGTTTTGGGCGAACTTCTATAGAATTGTCCTCAATTTGCTTGTACGCAAGCCAGAATATTTTATTTTTTTAAACGAACTTCCCGAAGCTGAAGCCTCAACTTGACATGTGTTGAATTGTGAAAACATGCAAATGATTTTGTAAATGACTTGATCTTAACTTTTAAGTACTTAACGATTTTCGCTGTTTAAACCTAATCAAAAATATACACACACACGAATGACTGGTTTCTGTGACAATATATAAATGCGTTCAGGCAGTGCGTTTCATAGGTGTATTTGAAATGAAATTTTACGTTTAACTCTCCACTAATATTTTGTACTTATGACCATTTCGCCTATTTTAACGACTGCCTTTTCTGATACCGCTAAATTTCCACTACACTTTACAAAGAAGGCGAGGCCTTACACGGCCGAAACGGACTGCACTTACCCTATCCATAAACACGAAAGGAAAGCCCCACAAGATGAGTACTCCACTTTTGATTGCCCCTCGTCATATTTGCCTTATTATATATAATATAACGATACATGTTTGTGTACATACAAAGCTATATGTGCGATCCTGTAAATCATAAATTGAGAGCGGAACCCCCACCCTCTCCTCCTGCGCGGCTCCATCCTCTCCAGCAACCGGTTATTTCAAAAATAACCTGTAATAGCACTTTTTTATCTTGAGATTTCCTCACAACGCTCGGCTCTTTTAGTTAGCATAGCGAACTTTGGGCGGGGGAAGGGTGAATGGGGCGGTTAGGTAATATCGACAGCAGATAACAATTAAACAACGATTACAATAGCAATAATTAATGGATAATCGGATAAACGTATATAAATGTAAACGGGATAGCTCTTGCAGATCTAATTATACGATACACGTTCACGTCCACGTTTTTAAAGACAACACACCCACACTCAACACACAACACACGCACTTCTACGATGCAGCCACAGTAATTTTTTTGGTCGGGAATCTTAACTAAATGTATATTAAATAATTAATTTAATTAAACAAGTAACGAAAATGGCAAAAAATAAACAAACAAGTTTTAAAAATAATTTCAAGCACTGTTTCCACTTTTTTGCAGACTTACCCCCAAGAAAACGCCAATAATTTGGAACTGAAATAAAAATGAAACTATACATTTATGTATTGTATCTGTATTTTGAATGAGCACCCAAAATTGCCTTCAAATAAAAGATCATCAGGTAGTGTATTGTTGCATATATACTATATATGTAAGAACCATCGTTCAATGCAAATTTTAATTGTGGGAGCTGGTGTCGCCGAAGCTCCTAGCAATTCTACCATTGAGTGGAAGGATGCTGGGTGGGCAGGGATAACCCTGATGGGGTGGCTGAGAAGGACATACAAGTCGAACGTGCATCGCAACATTTACAAATAAATCAACTTACGACTGAATCTAACGAAAAAAAAATGCTTGCATATTTTAAATACTCGCTTAGCAGAAAGATACACAGCACCAGAGGCAGTGGTTGCGGGAAGGGGAGGTTTCCTTAAGGGGTCTAACTTAGGCCTAATCCGAGAGCATCACCACATCATCGACAATGGTGGGCGGAGGCTTCTCCTGCCTCTTCTCCTTGGGTTTGCTGGCATCGCTCTGGCGCTGCAGGAACTGGCTGATCAGCTTGTTCTTGGTGGCCGATGGAATCGGCTGATCCCTGGGCACAGACATGATCAGCGTGGCCCGCTTCTTGCCGCCCTGACCCGCCTGGGCCTGTCCACTGATGGGCGTTGTTGGTGCCGAGTTTGTAGCCGCGTTGACAGCGGGCGATGCGGCGGCTTCCGCATCCGCTGGCGGACTCTGCTCGTGCTGCGATGCATCGGGTCCCTCGCTAACCTTGGGCGTCAAAGTGTAGTTCCACTGATTCTGGAGCTGGAGATCTGGGAGCTGGAACTTTTCCAGCATATCGTTGGCCACCACCCAGCAGAGACGCTTCTTCGGTTTCTTGCTTTTCTTGGCGCTGCTGGCACTGGTGGCAGCAGTCTCGGGTGTGCCCAGCTCCACGGTCTTCCAGCTGGCTAACTCATCGATTTTCTCGCGCAGCACAGCCTTTGAAGGCAGCAACGTTTGATTGGACTCGGGGGTCGCCTGGGTTTTCAGGTACTCTAAATACTCGTTGACCAGGAACATCTTCGAGTTGCGATTGCCGTGAGTAAGTCTCACCAGCTGCTGCATGAGGCGATCATCCAGCTGCAGCGGCGCCAGCTGCTCGGGCGTCTGATCCTCGCGCTCCGGTTCGGTTGGAGGTTGCATGCTGATTGGCTCTGTGTGCCAACAGGCGTACATGTCGATGGTGTGAGCAAAGATTGCCGGGAATAACTCCGACTTGTTGCCATTTTCGTCCAGCCACACGGGTCCCAGCAGGCGCGCCTTAATCTTCTTCGTCTGCTTCTTCATTTCCTGGGCGAATTCCTGCTGCAGCACCTGGAGTTTGGCCTTCTGCGCCTCCCGCGTGTGTCCGTCTTCCATTCCATCGCCGTCGTTTTGCAGCTCTTCGTCGCTGAGATGACCGTGCGGCACGTACCATTCGTTGTACTCCTCTTCGGATTCCTCCTCTGACTCGCGCTCCTTCTCGTCCTCGCTGGCGCTCAGCGACTCCCCCGGTTCCTCCTCCTCCCACTCGCAATCCGAATCAACTTCGTAGTCGAAGAGCACCTGCGATACACGATTATTTACATCTGTGACCTGATATTTAAGCCAGAGAAAGTGATTCATACCTTATCTTGGGCCAGTGGGCGACGAGCGGAGATGCTGCTGCTCTTTTTGCGCCAGGTGCCGTAGTATGGAGGCCTCCGGTTGTCGGCAAATTGCAGATACTTGGCCCTCATTCGAGTCAACTGCTTGGGCTGCTCCACCTCGATGGGCAGTCCTGCAGAGGATAGGTAATCTGGAGGAATAGTAAAATAATAACGACAGGTGAATAACAGTTCATTGCCAAATATCTTGAAGGCACCTACCTATCACTTGGACCTCGTCTTCATCCTCCTCATCCTTGGTGCGTCTCTGGAGCTTGGCATCGCGCCGCATCTTGAGTGGTTCGCGCCGACCGCTGCTCAACTCGCTAAGATATAGATGAGCTCGATTCGGCGGTTTCCGCCTGACGATGTCCTCCTCCTCCTCGCCGTCGTCCTCTTCCTCGTCCTGGTGCCGGAAAAGACCATCCAGCTGAGAGCGCTGCTCCTGGCCGAGCGAGTTGCGCACGATGGGTGCCAGCAGCATGTCGTCTTTAATCTGAAATGGTCGAAAGGCCAGCGTTTGGCTGCTGGCCTTGGAGCTGTCGCAGCTGCTTTGTTCGTGCTCCAGGCAGGATGTATTGTTGGATCCGCTGCCGCCCTTGGGCTGCTTGGGCACAAAGAACTTGGAGAAGGACTCGGCGGCACGCTTCTTCTTTTGCTCGGCCTCCTCACGCTCCTGCTCCTTCTTGCGGCGCTCCTCGTCCTTTTTGCGCTGCACCTCCTCCTTGGCCTCGTTGCGCTTGCGCTTTTCCTCGTTCTTGGAGTCCACCTCCGCCTGCCGCTTGCGCTCCTTCTCCTCCTTTTCCATCTTCTTCTGCTGCTCCTTTTGATCCTTCTCCAGCTTACGCTGCTGCTCCTTTTCGTCGCGCTCCTGCTTCTTCTGCTGCTCGCGATGCTCCTTCTCCTGTTGCTTAAGGCGACGCTCCTCCGCGAGCTTTTGCTCCTTCTCCTCGCGAGCCTTTTTCCTTCGCTCCAAGAGTCTTTGCTGTTTGGGCGTAAGACTCTTCGGGGCTCCGGTTTCCTCCGGCAGACTCTTCCTGTGCAGGCGAGTCTCCTTTTGAGCGGAGGTCCTGTCTGTGGCCGCGGTGTCCGTGTCGGCATCCATCTCGTGCTCGCTGCTGGAACTGTTGTTCTCGCTGGTCGAGAGGATCACCGAGATTTCCGCAGCTCCAGGAGATTCTTTGTCCGACTTAACGTGAGTAGATGGTTCGTCTTTCTTGCAATCCTTCTTGGCCGCCGATTCTGGTTCAGAAGTTTTTTTCTTGGCTGCCATTTGCTGATTTTTCACGGCAGCAAGCTCTTCTTTTTGATTATTTGCAGGTGCGTCTACTTTTTCCTTCTCTTCGTTCTTACTCTTTTCATCCGGTTTCGATTCCTCCTTTTTGTCCTTCTTTGGGATTTCTTTTGGTTTGGAGTCCTGTGCAATCGGATGATCCATCTTGTTGCCCTTACCGGTCTTGGCTTCGGATTTATCTTTCTTACTGGTTTCCGCTTTCTTTCCCATAAAGATATCTATTGTGGCCTGATCGTTCTTTATGTTTTTCTCTGCGGTCTTTGGCTCTTCCTTCTTCGACTCCTTGCCTGTCCTCTGGGGCCCCTCCTGCTTCATTGAGTCCTTTCCATTCTTCTGACTGACCTCCTCCTCCTGCTTCTCGCTGTTTCCTGGCGATTTCTCAAGCGGTGTTTGTACTTTTGGCCTCTTTTGGGGGTTCAGTTCTTCGGCGATGATCTCTATATCGTCGCTGGACTCGCTGTCCCCCTTGCCAACAGTTGTGGCCGTAGTGTCCAACGACTCCCCAGATTTCTTCAGGGATTTTCTACGCTTTGATCGTTTGTTGACCAGCGGCAGTTTGATTTGTATGGGCGCCGGCGAGCCTTTCTTGGCCTCCGGCTTCTTCGGCTTTGACTTGACCTCAATGGATGCCTTGGCCTCCACCACTCCATTCTGATCCGCCATCTCCTTGTCGGCTTCATCGTCATCCAGTTCGATGAAATCTTCCGCTGGCAAATCCGTGGTCTTGGCCTTCTTGGTGGCTATGGAACTGGCCAGATCCAGGTTCTCCTTGCTGGTCGAACGTCGCAGTGGCCCCGAAGAGCAGCCAGTGCCCTCCGATGGCGACTCATCGTCGTATGATAGCTTTCGCTTGCGGGGAGCGGGTTCGTCCTCATCCTGGATCACGGTGACGGGGGCGGAGCCAGTGGTGGCGGGAGACGAGGAGGACGAGGATGTGGATACCGGCCCACCGCCCGGCGTTAATAATTTGAAGGGCAGACGCGTCTGCACTAACTTCTTGCCACCGCTGGCCGTCTTTTCCGCTGATTTGGCCGACACAGCCGCATCCTTCGTCCTGCCGCTGATCGGGGTCTTCACAATGCCGGCGGACATTCTGCTGTGCTCTCTGTCTGCCTGTGTGTCCTACTTCTGCAGCTCCTGTTTCCCAGCAAATCTTCGCTTGTTATTCGCTTAATAAAAAAAAGGCGCTGAAAACACACTAGCGATGACAGTAGTGGGCGCGTATTGCCGCCAATATATGCGCTCTTGCGATCGATAGATCGATTGCCGCCAATCGCACCAGTTCTGGCAAGCGGTCGAGTGGTGGAAAACTCTGATAAGAGTGATCCTGCTTCTTGGCTCTTTTGATTGTTTCAGTGGAGACTTAAGTTGTGGTACAAGGTGGAGAGTCAAATTGTGGCCACGAAGGTGGGGAACTCTGATAAGAGAAGGGCATGTGCTTGTGTCCTTTTTATTTAACGATTTTTTTAATGGTTTAGTTTAATAGTGAGGACTAAATTTGGTTGACGTTAATAAATGTCTTATTCAGATGTGATAGAAATAAAAACATAATATATATTTAACATATAGTCTGTTTCTATAAAAAGATCTTAAATAATATGTTCCTATTTTAATTCCTTAAAAGAGTTGGAAAAATCTCATACTAAAGTCATTGCCTTTTTTTGAATCTGTTGTTATACCTTTTGTTATATCTTTTCACCAGAACAGTGAGCACTTTGACATAAGCCATAAAATTGAAATAGACATTGAACATCACTCATGCAAGCCAAAGTTCAGTGCTAATTGTTGTGCACCCCATGACAGCTTTATGTGAATAATTAAATACAACTAAATACGACTTCCAAAATTTTTCGATTTGTGCAAGCAAGCCATCAGGTTAATTGAGTTCGTAGTTATTGTTACCTTTTGATGCAGCTGACAAATATTCCCCGACTGCTGCTAATTGTTTACTTAGTTTAATGTGGCATTTTTGCTAATCCCGGATAAGTGGAAAAACGCTTGCGGCCACACTCACAGTGACAGTGAAAGCCTATGCTGACCCCTTTCCACCTACCGACCTGGTTGACATGGTGACCTGATCCTGATCCGGGTATGGATACGCGCCAAGGAACGGAAGATCCTGCCCCGAGCTGCCTTCGTCGCAGCGGCCTGGAATACATTTCATTTAATTACAATTTGTTTCAATGCGCCGACACGCACGCACAGCCCAAAAGGGGAGTCGGTGGTGGATTTGGGGCACTACTACTGCCAACTACTCTGCCATTGGAATATGTGTACATGCAGCGCTTAATTCTGCTTGCAGTTGCACTCATGCACTGCATCTACTATCCAATGAATTCCCCCTATCTTGTAACTCAAAAGAAATCTAAATTTGGATTCATAAGGAATGAAAGAAAAAGAATGAAGGATTGATGCGAATCTTAAAGCGATTTATTAAATATAGTGTGTATTCTAAATACATATAAATACATGTGTATAAATATAAAGAGAATACAACAGCCCTAAGTGCAAAGCTAGACGACTAATACTGACATGTGCAATCCACACGAGATACAAATTGCGGTCGCCGCTTGTGGCTTCTTTGAAAAATTAAATATATATATGTACATGTATATACAAAACAACTGGGGCGATGAAGTGGGTTGGACATGTGGCATATTATTCGCATTGGCCGGGATTTGCCACCGCCACATATCGACTCCTCTAATAATGATAATAATAATGCCGCATCGATTCCGCTGGGACTTTTGGTCCACCGAAGAGACGGGGCGTAAAATGGGAATTCGGTCAGGCGTGTGAACGGGTGCGGTATGCCGAGTACCCAGTAACCAGTAACCAGTACCCTGTAGCGCCATTGCCTTCCCTTTCTGGTAATAGAAAATCTATTAGCGGCCCCTCCCCTCCACGCGGGGGGTGGTGAAAAGCGAAGAAAAGCAGGGGCAAAGGCTGTCAGGCATCAGCCGACCGACCCACTTCCCTTTTGATGACGCGAAAAGAGGCCAAACACTTTGAACATTTTGCCAAACAGACGAGGCTTTGATTCGAAAACGGTTACGGTTTTGGGTTACAACAGCGTTTTTTATTTCAAAGCCTGCATGGCCATTTGCAGATAGGACTATTTTCGGAAGGAGTAGTGACTCCTTTCCATTTCTTAAGCTAGTACTGCCTATTTATTGGTGGATACCCACCAAATGGTAGATAGTGTACCAAAACAAAGTTCATTTGATGAAGGGCTCGGGAAATTATAGACCTGTTGGCGTGGAAAAACAATGAAAACGTGTTGCAAAATCACGGAAAATCAGTTCATCATTTATTTAATATTATTAGTAATAACTTTAAGTGGCTGTTGGCCCACACAACACAAATAGAGTAGCCATAAATAAGTAACAAATACGTTTTGAGTTTTTATTGTGTTTAAGTAATTGGAGGGTAAAATGTGTTTCCAATTTGTTGTAACTGTTGTAAGCGGCATTTCCCCCCTGTTTTTCCTTCTCGTTGTTTCTACTTATCGGAACACTGGGAGAAATTGCGTTTGCAACGAATGCGTTTCCAACTAGGCAACTAAGTGCTAATGATTTGCTATTCCACAACACATGCGGAGTTGTTCTCAGTGCATTTCGGTGAGTGTAACAGTGCGCGGAAAAAGTAACCGGCAACGGCAACGGCAACCAGATTGAAAAAGTATTGAATTACATTTATACAACATTTGCTTGAATAGCCTTCGCCAGGGGGTGGTGGGTGGTGGGTGGTCGAGTGTTGCGGTTTGGGTTTCCTTTTGTTTGCCTAGTGGGTGGCTTGTGGGCGGGGTTGGACTATGTCTCTTGTTGTTTCCTTGAATGGGGTTCGGGTTTTGGCGATTAACGTGAATACCACCTCTCCTGCGCCCCTCTCCGCCTCTCCGCATTTTCTTTCTCTGTATATTTGTGGCTTCTTTGAGTGGTGGCACAAAGTACACTGCAAACATGTGACAGTGCCTTCGCATATATCTCCAAATGTATTCCACGCTACTGTTGCACACTTAAATGGTATAATTAGTGCTGGATTGCTGTGTAATATGACGAGTGAATGGTTATCAATCACTAGTGAGCATTGTTCCAACGCAGTTGTACAAATTTGCGTGCAGTGTACGAGCAAGGAAGCAGGGAACATCGAAACGGAACAGAAGTGAAGTGGACCGAAGGTCGATTCCCGCAGGAATCGCTGTGAAAATTCATTAGTTGCCCATTTTTATGCTATTTTATTTCAATATAAAAGACGCACGCATGCATGCATTTAGTTTCCATTCCCTCGCCACTGCCGCATCCGCATCCTTATCCGCCGCCTCTGCTTTATTATGCCGTTTGACGCAGCGGACACGCATTAAAATTGTAGCAGTCCGAATGGAAAGGCAGGGACAGCGGTCCATGGGCGGGGGCGGTGGTCCGGAAGGCGCAAAGGGGGCGGGGCACCAGGTAGTTGCGACCGCCCGAGAACGCGACAGGTAGTGCTGTCCAAGCTGGATAGAGCCAATGTGGAGGATTCTGGATAGATCGTTGTGAGAAATGGGAGAGTGCTACTGGTAATGTATATGGTAAATATTATACTACGTTTGTAGCTTTAGTTGTTCTTAGGATGAACCAAAAAAATCGAAAACAGCCAGGTGGACAACACTGAATGCATGGTGCCTGTGTGCGACAGAGAGGCGAAAGCAGTTGGAGAAAGGGACGGAGCATCAGTTCGTCTTGGTTTGACACACTTGCCTTGGGCAACTGCAACTTCCTTCGGAACAATGGACCTTTGTTCACGACGGGTTCGGATATTTTCCGGACTTTGATTTCCACGAACACGTATTTCCCACACTTTTCACTTTTCCCCTGACTGCCCACGATTTTCCTCTCATTCATTCGATTCCATTCCGAATCTTTTGTGATCGAACCTGTCGATCGGCGAGCATAAATAGCTGTCAGATTGAATTCCGTTTCCAATGCACAGGGAACAAAACCGAGTTCGTTCATTTCATTTGAGATACTATGTTAACTTGGTGTTTTTTTCAACGTTTTTCTTGATGTATATTTCAGTGAGTATATGCCGTGAGTATTAATTTCCTTTTTCTTTTGGATTCTGTAAGCTTCATTGCAACAAATTAGCTTGAAATTACGATCGCGATCGGGCAAATTCATCTGTCATTCTCCGGGCTTCCGATCTTCCGATCTTCCGATCTGTTTCCACAATCTCGGACCATGACTTCCACCAGTCATCAGCACAAATTGAGGAAAGCTGCCAGTCACCATCGTTCGGTGGACAGTTTTCCAATTCTGTAGGCAGTGCGCCTTGGGATCAAAAGTCGAAAGATTGCCTTTTACTTTCTCCATCTGAACAGTATCACTACTTGGTTCATTGCCGATCAATCTATTCTAATTCCTTGACGATTCCTTAATGATCAAATGATTTCTCGTTGGTGAGATTTCAGATCGCACGGATCAATGGCAATTACATGCTTCATTGGAGGAATCCGAAATGCCGAAGGATACCGCCCACTGCCGCTACTTCATTAAGGATCAACTCGCACAATACGGAGACTTCGAAAATTGGCAAACGAACAATTTGGCAATTGAACAATTGGAGTAAGGATAATTGAGCCAGAGTTCCGATGCCCTTTTTTATTTGGCCTATTATTATTTTTTTGCACCATTGTCGGCTACTTTCAAAACAAACTTCTGGCAAGGAAAACGACGAAGTGATGGGCATATCGAAATTGTTGTTTTGATTTCGATTTGAAATTTGTTTTGAGAGTGAAAATGTGGCAACAAAAGCGAACGGGAGCGGCAAATATACGGATGCCATAGAACGGTTGGGCTAGAAAAACCATCTAGAAAATGTGGACAATTTTGGGATGCGGCAAAAGGCCACAGGAAGTCAAAGTGTCAGGGCTCAGGGGCTCGGAGATTTTTCTATTTTCTATTTATTTGTTGCTGCCGCTGCTATTTGTCATCATTGTTGTCGTGTAGGTTCGCCGGATCGAGGCGGAAACGCGGCTAATTTGCACCCCTGCCCCGGATTTTCATTTTCATTTTCATTTCCATTCCCAATTTCCCTCACCTTTTCGCTGCCGCTCCTCCACACCCCGCAGGCCACTGTGCCTGTGCAAAATTATTAATTTACGAGCTGTCAACAGTTATTGTTCGCCCAGCCCCGTGTTTACATCCACACAAAAAGCAACAACCCAGCAGATTCATTTTAGAGAGAGATGGCCGATTGCGGCAGGGCTGCCGGGAAAGAGACGGCA